AAAATATCACAAGGAACCATCAGATTAAAAAAGAATCAGATAATAAAAAATGTTAAATGTATCATAAATGTATTATTGAACACACAATGTTGAAGGTGAAGTAAGAAAAATCTTTTAGAAAGTACAACCAGGACTTTTAAAGAGAATTAAAATATCAGGCTGGGTGAGGTGGCACACACTTGTAAGCCTAGTGGCTTGGGAGGCTGAGGCAGGAGGATTGTGAGTTCAAAGCCAGCCTCAGCAATTTAGTGAGGCCCTAAGCAATTAGTGAGTACCTGTCTCTAAATAAAAAACAAGAAAGGGCTGGAGATGTGGCTCAGTGGTTAAGCACCCCTGGGTTAAGCATTCCTGGGGAAAACCAGATCTGTGCCATTCTTCGCAGAAAGACACTGTAGGAGCTACTCCGTCAAAATCAAGGAGCAAACTAAGAAAGAGGGGTACAGCAGGACCTGGAAACATGCTCTGTCACGGATGGAGCGAAGAGATATTCCAGGTGGGCAGGAGCCACTGCTTTTCCTTCTAAGTCAATACCATTTGATTTCTGAACTATGTGCCTGTATTACTGTGATTAAAAAATGAAGTCTAATCAAGGAAAACATGGTTGAAACACTAGTAAACTCCAGGTGCCAAATAAAAGAGGGGAGGAGATGAACAGAAGAGACTTCTGAGGAGTAAGTGAGCCCAGGAGCCATGTGCTCTTGTGTAGAATGGGCTCCGAGTATGTGTGTGTGTGGGGGGGGGACGGGATGGGGGACGAACTGTGGGAATAGTACACACACTGCCTGAAAGAGTTTGCTGGAACCAGCATGTCTCAGAAAACACAAGGCGTGGGCAGGAAGGGATGGGGATTGGGGCCACTAGTCACAAGACAGTGTTCACAAAGTCACTGGAGGTTGTGACTTGCCACCCACTCTTTCCTCCTGGACACTGCATCACCGGGCCCCTCTCCACCTACCAGCTGAGACTAAAGACAAAGTCTGGGATGGTGGGTGCCTGTCCAGTGCCACTCAGAAACTCAGGGAAAGTCCCACCCCACCACTTTGAGGAACTATAGCATCCATCTGTCCCAGGGTTCTGGGGCAGAGAGTGGAAGGCAATGACCTTAATCGCATCCTTTCCCTGTGCCAGGCATGTTACATACATTTTCTCATCCCAGCCAGCTTACACGCTGCCTTAGGTGAGGGAAAATATTATCTGCTGTCTCAGATGAAGAAATTACTGGCAAAATTCATAAGAAATGAGATGTTCTGTGCCTGTTTGCTTGATCGCAAAGTCCCCCCAGACTGAGAAATGGACAGACCTAAGCCAAGGAGAGAAAGGGCTTGCAGCAGTGTGGTGAGAACATGATGCTAAAGAACTGAGTTCTTCCACTCCAGGCTCATCCTTGCCCTTACTCGGGGACATGGGGCCTTCTGCCATGCTCCGAGTTTCCCTTGGGAGTCTAAGAGTCATTAGGCTTTGCCATTTAACACTCCAGATCGTGTGAGCATCCACAACACGGGGGATGGGCCCAGGTTGTGCTGGCCCAGGCTTCCCAGCCTACCTCTTCTTCCTTCTTCCCGGGGTGATACAGCCTGGCTTGTCAGAGCCCAGCTCCACCCTCTGCCCGCCTCCTCCTTTTTAACAGATTCCTGGTGAGTTTGGCTGAGCCAGTCATCTAATCATCCTTGGGCTCTTCAGGGCAAGTGATGTGTGCTTTCTTAGAGTTGGGGACAAAGAAACACAGCACATGTTTATGTGCTACAGTTCTGGTGACTATTATCTCCCAAGGTTCGTATGGTGGAAGCTTAGCTCCCAGTGAAGTGGTGTTGAGGGGATGGAACCTTTAAAAGGTGGGGCCTAAGAGACAATGAGATCCTGGGGGCACTGGCCTCAGTAGGATTGCACGCTGGTCTCTTGGAGTATGTTGGGTCTCTCAGGAATGGGTTAGTTCCTCTAAGAGTTGTTATAAAAGACTGAGCCTGGCTTCTCCCTGATCTCTTGCTTCCTTGCTCTTATATGTTGCTTCTGCATATGGCAGTTTCCTTTTCTGCTTCTCTGCCATGTGTAATGYGGCTAGGAGGTCCCTCACCAGAGGCCAGGGCTAGGCTGTTTTGWTTTTCCAATCAGCAGAATCATAAGTCAATTAAACCTTTTTCCCTAATACATTCCCAGTGCTAGGTATTTTGTTATARCAACACAGCTGGACTACGTATGTCGTTCAAGGGCCCTAAGATTTCAGGCAGAGGACCAGAAGACAGGCATATAAAATCAGGGAGCACTTACTCACACTTCTTCCCTTTGGAATACCACTACCACTTACAGCTACCATTAATTGAGTAGTACATTATGTGCTTGGTACTTTTTCACTTAACTCTTATTAGCTCCATTTTATAGATGAATAATCTGAGGTTAGAGAGGCTAACAGTCATGCTTAAGTTTATCTAGTTACCAAGCATGGAGGTGAGATTTTTTTCACTTCAAATCCTGTTCCAACCCTTGTTATCTAACTCACAGTTTTCTAATTCTAGATCCAAGTTCCTTTTTTAGCAATCCCTGACAAGAATGGGATGCAGTTCAAGAATATGAGAACTAAAATATTTTCAAGGTTATTAAAAAGATAGGTAAGAAATAAATTCACACACGGTAGCATTTCCTATAAAGGGAATTCATAATTGGTAAGGATTACCATAATTCCATTCACATGTGATAACTTTCTTTCTTTCTATTTTTTTTTTTTTTTTGCCAATCACAGATAGTGTAGATGAAATATGTTTCTTCTTCTCCTTTTTTTTTTTTTTCTTCCCCATGTGGTGCTGGGGATCAAACCTAGGACGTTGCACATGCTAGGCAAGTGCTCTATCTCTGAATTACATCCTCAGCCTGAAATATATATTGTATATGTATCATTAATATCAGTAAATAAACATCTTTGTAAGTTTAGTGTGATTACAACATTAATCTGATTATGCTTTTTCAATCTCTGATTGCACAAGATTCCAACCTAAAGTAAGTGCAAAATGGAACAGAATAATGAAGATCCTTAAGGCTCTACTGCCTGTTTTATTTTTTAATAACCACTCCCTTTTGACTCTGTTAACCCAGGCACCACTTCTGAGAGAAGTGCCTCCATGGCCAAAAACCAGTGGAGAAATCTTTAATAAAAGGTTTTCATACTGGGTTCCCTTGGGGAATCTGAGGTGATGCCTTGGAGGGCTGGGGACAATGGTTCTAGGAATGTGTGTAATGAGAGGAGGACTAACTTGTCTTCAGGTAAGGCAAGGCTGCTTCTATATTGGGTACCATGGAAAGTTGTATTGAAATGAAAATATTCGATAGGCACAAAGAATTTGAAAGTTCCTAAACATAGTCCCTCCCCACCCCCACCTTATCAGTGGTTTCACTTTATAGTTCAGTTACCCATGGTCAACTGATATCCAAAACTGTTAAATGAAAAACTCCAGAAATAAACAATTTATAAGTTTTAAATTATATACAATCACGAGTAGTGTGATGGAATATTACACCGTCCCACTCTGTCTCACCTGGGGCACGAATCATCTATTTGTCCAATGTATCCATGCTGTATATACTACCCGCCCATTAGTCAGTTAGCATCTGTTTTGGTTATCAGATCAACTGTCACAGTATAGCAGTGTTTGTGTTCAAGTAACCATTATTTTATTTAGTCAGGGGCCCATAGTACAAGAGTAGCAATGCTGGCAATTCTGTTATGGTATATGTTAATAATTGTTCTATTTTATTTTACTATCACCAATTTATGAGTTAAATTTTATCACAGGTATATATGTATTGGAAAAAAGCAGTATAGATAGGGTTTGATATTATCTGCAATTAAATATCCACTGGGCTCTTAGATATGGGGGACTACTGTATACAGAGACCTTTTCAGAAGTTTGGAACAGATTATTTCTTCAACTCTGAAACAAGGGTAATATCCTTAATTACTACCCGGCATTACAGTGAGAAGTAGTTATAAAACSATCTTGCAAAGTGAGTGATGGCAATGACACAACAGCGGCTGTGACGATGGGGTGGCAATTCCACCTGACTGCTCCCTCCTGAATGCCTGAAGCTGCGCGTGGCCATAATGACAGAGGGACTCTGCTGTCAGACTTGTACCAAAGTGCAAAGTGCATGAGGGTGAGAAGCTGGTAGATCAGGATCAACTGCCACCAAAGATTAATTTCTGCTTTAAAAATCAACTCCCTGCTCTTCCTTTCTAATGATGTTCTCTTAAAGCCTACTTGCTTATTGGACAATTACTCTCCGAGACACATTGCATGCATGAAAAAAACCATCAGATAAAGTCATTATCTCTAGTTCTCATTGAGTATTATTAATGTTTCCTTTTTATGCAAAGCGTGGATATTTGAGTCTTATCTCATTTCCTCAACTCTAAATTTTTGAAAAGCAGAGCCTAGGTTCATTTTTCTCTATGCCCCTGCCTGAGAGAGACTAACCTGGTACCTTGCTTATGGAGTTATAATTATTCAATAATAATATTTTAAAATAAGTATGATATTCCCTTGCCCCATTACCTGGAAATTGGTCCACTGCCCATCAAAACAGACATTTGTGGATTTTARATTGTTTTAATCCACATGGGCTTTAGTTCTGTTTTCGGTTCAGGACAACCAAATAAAACCCCAAACAGGTGGCTCAGAAGAGCAGCTTTCTTGGCATGTTACGGGTCCAGGTTTTTATTTCTTGCTCTATAAAAACACTTACTGTCTGATAAAAGGTTTGCTAGAAAGGCTGCTGCTGCTCCATATAACAAAGATGATGATAATGACAGCAGTAAGATCTGTTGAACACTTTGTGGCAGGCACTGGGCTGAGCCCCTTATGCACATGATCTCATTTGAACTTAGAAGCGCCTTATGAGGTGCTATTATGATTTCCAACTGATGCATGATCAGACCACACACACCGCACACCCAGCCAGGTAAAATGCCTTGACTAAGGACTCAGGTCTTCTATCGACAATGCAGGACTTACCTGGGAAGTACAGAGTTAGGTGGCCTGGATTTTGCAGGGGATGCAACTTTTGGTTCTGGCCCCGAGCTCCCTGAAGATCCCAGCAGAGACTCCTGCCCTGGCCCGGGTGGATTTGGAAGTATTTCCCTTGTGGAAGTCAGGAGGTGCTCTTTAACTTCTTTCTCCCGGGACTTGGCTTTGTGTTCTGCCAGGAGGAGGTCAAATTGCTTTTTCCGGCCCGGGACTGCCCTCCGATGGCTTAGCGAGTGTGTCTAAGGAGAAGAGAGATGAGAAGCACAGCCTCTTTGATCAGCACATAAACCTGCTTCCCCAGGCCCTGCATTTCAGAAATAGCAATCATGGGAATTTAGAGGTGCTTGAAAAGTCAACTTCAAGGCAACAGCTCCTGCTCTGTGGCTGGGAAGAGGCAGAGACCACACACGGACGCAACCATGCCCTACACTCCTGGTGCTAAGAAGCCAAAGCTTCCTCCAAAAACATGGCCTGAGATGACGAGCTTCAGCGCAGAACCCATGAAAACCTCTCTGATGAAAGGCAACCGCGAGGGAATGCTAGAGTTAATCCAGGTGCAGGTGGGAGGCTCGAGTCGGCCCAGACAAACCGAGCCACCAAGCAGAGAGGGCCATAGCCTCGATCCCAAGAAGCACTAGCAGTTCAGAAGGCAATGTGGGGCTTTGGGCTACCCAATGGCGGCCGCCTTGGGTCCGCTGTTCCCCTGGCCACCCCGTGTGGCTGGATCAGGGGCGCGGCATCTCATCTTCCCCTTCAGGGCGCTGCCGCCGCCGCCGCCGCCGCCGTTCCTGCATACATTAAAACGTAGCAGGCTTTAGAACCGCCTGTGAGTGCCTATAAATACAATTTACTGTCTGGCCTCCCAAGTAACAGGGGAAGCCTAGTTTTTTTTTTTTTTTTTTCCTCTCCTTAAAAAGCCAGCCAGCTTGAGGCAGGCACTCTGCTACCATGGACGAGAAGAAAGCATTTCCCTTACAAAGAACAGCTGGAGGTCATGTCGAGGTTCCACACCCTGCCGTGTGCAGAGAGTGGCATGCAAACATTTCGACAAAGGCCCCAGCAAGAGCAGGAAGTATTTTTTATGGAAAGAGAAATACCTTGCAGGTGAGGGATCTTGTGCAAGGTTTCTTTGTCTCGGGATCCAATACTCCACAGTGTTTATTTGGGTCAAATTCTCTCTCTGGTTTAAGAAACAAACAAAAAATATAAGAAAAAAGGAGACTAAATAGGATTTGGCATTAAGACTACAGTTTTAAAAAATGCACATTTGCACCAACAAGTGAGACATTGTCAGGCAATCTGTTTTTTYTTCTTCTTCTTCTTCTTCTTTTTTTCCCAACCGGCTGCTAAAATGCCTCAAGACCCACATAGGGGAAAATGGCAGTCCCCTCTGAAGGCAGAGTTTCCAAGCCCAGCACAGGGCACCAGGGTTAGGGTGGGAGAGGGCACCAGAAGAAAAGGAACTATACTGCTTGCAACACTTCATTTTATTTGAATGGTCCATACAGGTCCTTGGCACGTGGGGCATAGCGGCTGCAGAGCAGGGAGAGTCACCTGAGACCCAAGGGTCTCTTCTCCCTGGGCTGCTGCATACACCCCAGTACATACACCCTAGCCTCCACCCCTGCCTTCCTGCTAATTTAGCCATTTAAGTGGGAGATGGTTCCTTGACMTGTCAGTGTGACCCGCCTCTCCCATGCTTTACAAAGCACTCAGCGGGGGCTTTCCACACACCTGCACAGACCMACAAAGTCATTTACCTGATTCAGGAACATTCTAGATACAGGCAGGGGCAGGGAAAAGCTGAGTGTGTGTTTTCATGTGAGTGAACMTGTGCTCCGTCCCTAGCCCTGGCTCTGAAGCCCTTCAGGAGAATAAGACAGGGCAGCTAGGGAGGAAGGACCCTGTGTGTGGAGATGTGGCTTTACCCAGGTCCTGGGTCTGAAGGGATGGTTGACGGCTCATGTGGAGGCTACTTCTAAGGAATCAGTTCTTTTTATGCCCATTGGGGATCCTTCCTCCCTTCTGGGATAACAAATATGTTCTCCATACCTGGAAAATGTGGGGACATGAGGCAATCTTTTAAGGACCCGTTAGGTTTTAGGATGGCCTGTGCTGTTTCTGGAAGGTACCCAGTGAACACCCAGGTTCTGCGGAGAGGAAGTCCACAGCTCTCTGGGTGTGTGTGGAAATGGGTGGTGTACTATTGCTGGGGGGAGGAGGGCCTCCAAGAGCTCCAAATTCAAGAGAGGTTACCCAGTCAACAACTGCAATTGGTGGAGTAAACTCAGAGCATAATAAATGAATGTGTTCTATTTTCAAAGAAGGTTTGGGGGTCAGGAGGGGAGGTTGCAATAGTAGCTATGATGCTGTGGGCATGAAATCATTCTTACACCCAAGGATATCCAAGTACTTCCCTCCCTCCTTTGTGCTTTTTGCCTTCCTTTTTTTAYAATCTTCATTTTAAGAAAAGAAAACTGCTAGGTCTGGAGATGCTGGTTTCCTTGGATCCCTCTGCCCAGCAGGCAGTGAGTGTCTGCGTGCCAGGTCCCAGGCTGCGCTGTGGAGGACCTACCCCCCCACACCCCCACCCCCGGATCTGTCAGAGTCCGGCCAGTGCCCAGACCCACACCAGCACCTCATTGCTGGCCTAGAGCTGAGCGAGTTATTGGCTGGGGGATGGAATTGGATGCCAAATGTGAGAGTGAGGTAGAAACAAGCAAAAGACCCAATGAGACAAGAAAACCAACCAAGTGCAAAAMCAATAGTCCTCAGGAAAGTCCCAGACAAACTCAGATTGCGATACAGGCTGCAAGTCAAGATCATGCTTCTGCTGCAACAAGGGATCCGTGGCCTCTGGACACTGTGCCCAGGCCTATTCGCTGCCCCCCTCCCCCCACCCACTGACACTGCACTTCCATGCAGGGAGAGCAAGGCCCCAGAGTGCTCACAGAGCACCACACTCTACCTTTCCCTCTCAGTGGGTGGCTAGGACATGGAGAAGGGGGCAGGGCACTATTTCCATTTGAATGCTTTGGGCCTGAGGTATTTGTAATATATGATTTTTYAAAGAGTTTCAAATGTAAGATAGAAAAACAAGAAATACAGATAAACACAAAGTAGAAAATAAAAAATTACCCACAGTTCCKTGGGTGCTTAAAAACCTTGCTCACGGCTGGGCGCAGTGGCGCATGCCTGTGATCCCAGCGACTTGGGAGGCTGAGGCAGGAGGATCTCGAGTTCAAAGCCAGCCTCAGCAACTTAGCAAGGCCCTAAGAAACTTAGCAAGACCTTGTCTCTAAAAAATATGAAAAAGGGCTTGGGATGTAGTTCAGTGGTTAAACTCGCCTGGGTTCAATCCTCAGTACCAAACAAACAAACAAACAAACAAAACCACCCTCCAAAAACCAAAAACCAAAATAACCAGACTTGCTTATAACCAGAAGGTTTCTCTCTCACGGGATGGCTTTCACTGTATTTTATTTTTTTCTGGCTACCATTAGATAGACCTCATGGGGTGTGGAGATATTATGAAGTTTATAGCTTTTCCTGGTCATTTAGAGAGAGCAGAACTGCCCAAGTTAGTTCTACAACAGATCCAAAGCAAACATCATCCATCCATAAGGGGCCTCTAGCGAGCCACTCAAAGAGTGGCCATGTGTCTGCTTGGACAACTGAGGAGTAGGCCCAAGAGAGACCTCCCAATGCCCCATCTGCTGTGCCAGCCTGAATCTCCCATTTGAGAACTCTGACCTGATTATGGGGAAAGGGCATTTGTAAAAGCCCCAACTGCAGAGTCAACCTGGAAACCCACAAGGCCAAAGGACAGAGGTGCATCTCCCTGTGTAGCATTCTTCTGATGAGGCTTGTTCCAGCATGCCCAGAGCCACTGTGAAATATCCCTGCAGACTGTCCAACTTTATAGCCGTGAAGCTTCTGTGGGAGCCAAGGACCTTCAACCTGTCAGCATATTTGGCTGCACAGAGCCACCTGCTAAGGAGACCCTCTAAGTCCACAGACTGTAGGYCAGTGCAGAGCATCTCACCCCCGGGGTGGCTGGAATAACTCCTCCTAAGCAATTAACCAAGCAAAGGGACTTTGCCTGGGAATAAGAAGCAGTTCTCCTTGCACTTTTAGGTGGAGGTCCTGTTTGCAGATAGCTCCATGTCCCCCTTAAAATAAAACAGAGCTGCTTAATTATAAGAACACTCCTTTGGTTACAGATGGGACTCAACTTTAGTCTTATATCATGAGCCAGACTCTAATGACACTGACACATACCTGAAAGTCTCCGGTAAGGCTTGTTGCTGTTTTTGGTGCCATTTTGGTGTTTCTTGTCTATTGTGGCTGACAGAATTCCTTTGCCATTTAGGATTTTCTCTGGTGAAGGTGGCACTGACTTGGACATCAAGATGGGCTTAATTAAAGGAGGGGTGGAGACGGCAGAGGAGGAGGTGGAGGAGGAGGTGACTGCAGTAGTGGTTGTAGAGTTCATTTTGACATTGGCACCATCTGCCTTCACTAGGTTAGGAATTTTCTCTAAACTGACTACAGGAACCGGAACGCTGAAAAATAAATGAACAAACATACACAATTGCCTTCTTTGATACATCTGGTCTGCTGAAGAGCTATAGCCGCTTATCATCATCAGAACACTTCCTTATCACTTATTTATACTCCTCCTATAAGCAAGCAGCATGATTCCAGTTTTGATGGGATAGAGATTTGTGCTGTGGAAAGGACCAACAGGGGGTGTGAGCCTGGCACAGTGCCCAGGATAGCATCAGAGCTGACTGATTACCTCCCGTGCTGGCTTGTCCCCATGGATCCTGTGATTCTCCTCTTTCTCAGGTCCTATGTGTGGGTCTCTGAAACGGCACCTTGGGCAGAACAAGGCATCCGCTGTGAAGCCCAGGCAGAGACACTGTCTGTCCCCTGCAGACAGTGTGCCACAGCTGAATAAGGTTCCCTTCCCCCTGTTCACTAGTCTCCCACCCCAGCCGATCGACCTGACATCTGCTTAGCTCCGGAGAGCTGACAGGATCACACCCCACGGAGGCATGGCTTCAGGCCAGCCCGCCGCACTCCATGCTGTTGGAGGGCTTCTGGATCACTCTCATATCCCGGGGATGGGCTCAAATTGAGTGAGCCGCCATGTACCATTATCCAATATTCCRTTTTAGGCAGCTAGTTATGTAAATAGGCAATTCTCAAGGCTGGCAGGTGAGAGGATGAATTTTAAGAAGGCAAGAGCACAAAGGTGTGCATTCACTCTTCAGAATCTGTCACCTTTGCCCCACTTCCCTGCTATTTCTCCTGTGATGGATGTGCATTTGATTTCTGCAGCTCTTTAATGCTGGAGGACCCTGTGTCTGGGGGGCTGTGGAGGACTCTGTCTTGGGGTCTTAAAAGATGAGATGAATAAGCTTTGCTTTGGTCCCTGAACCAGATTCCCTTTCCTCCTGGCAGGAGGGTAGAATGCTAACACTTCAGCTCCCCAATCATCTTTGAGCTGAGAGTGCAGCCGACTTAGCTATTTGAATGCCAAATGATGGAGAATATGGCTTTTACATGCCTGCAGACAATGTAGGGCATGAAAGAGGCTGTTTTTGGCAGGGGAGGAATCCTATCTGTCCACAAAGCTGGCTGGCTCCCTCTTCTCTAAGATACGCTCACAGATCATTTCTGCGATCAACGTATTCATGAAATTATTTCAGCAACCCCTGAGCCCCTGTCCCTGTTCTGACTTAGAAACAGGATCACAGATGTTACAGATCTTTGCCAGTGAGAAGGGCACACAGTGGTGGAACAGACTGTGGCTGGACATTAGGGATTCTCCCTTGGGGCCATGTGACTTCTTGGCCTGGGGAAAGGGTGTGGGACTTAGTCTGTGTGAGGGGAAACCGGAATGGTGGCCTTTAGCAATACTTGGTATAACTGCCAGTTCTGCCCCATATTGGAGTCGTTGATGCACGRCTGCCTGTTTATTTAATGGTGATTCTCTAAGCACTCCCATGTTGCTTGCCACCTGCACCAGAAGCCCTTGAGGAGTGACAGTRCTCAGAAGTTATATACACTCCTCGGTGAAGTTATCACCTGCAATGGTTTGAATGAGTCCTCTAAAGTTCATATGCTAGAAACACAACCTTCAAATTCACATGTTGATGGTATTTGGAAGTGGTGTCATTGAGAGGTAATTGGGGTCCGATGAAATTGGGAGGATGGGGCTCCCCGACAGGGATTAGTGGCTTTATAATAAGAGGAAAGGAGACCTGAGCCTGTGTACTTCCTTACCCTCATCATGTGATGCCCTCCACAACAAAAAGGCCCTCACCAGATGCTGGCACCTTAATCTTGGACTTCTTAGCCTCCAGACCATGTAAAACAAATTTCTTTCTTTCCTTCCTTCCCTTTGTTTCTTTTATAGTCCTAGGGTTGAACCTAGGGGTGCTCTACCACTGAATTACATCCCCAGCCCTTTCTATTTTTAATTTTAAGACAGRGTATTAATAAGTTGCTGAGGCTGGCCTCCAACTTGCAATCTTCCTGCCTCAGCTTCCTCTGTTGCTGGGATAATAGGCATGYACCATTGCCACCATGTACCTACCATTTTTCTTTATAAATCCACCCAGTCTGCAGTATTCTGTTACAGCAGCAGAAAACAGACTAAGATAACACTGCATTCCTGATTTTTTCCAAATGATTAAAAATGTGAAGGTGTGTGATATTGTGCAACGGAATTCTTCCAGGCTCATTTTTTTTTTCCACTCTATTTTAAAAAACACAAGCTACAGAAACCAGGGTCTCAAAGAGATATCTGCACACCCATGTTCAGAGCAGCATTATTTGCAACAGCCAGAGGGTGGAAGCAACCCAATGTCCATCAACAGGTTAATGGACAAATAAAATGTGGTACAATTTGGCCTTAAAAAGGAAAGAGATTCTGACCTAGGGATGAACTTTGAGGACAGTGTGCTAAATAAAATAAGCCAGTGACAAAAAGACAAATAATATGTGATTCCACTTCCACAAAGTACCCAGAGTAGTCAAATTCATGGAGATGGGAAATAGAGCTGCGGTTGCCAGGGGTTGAGGGAGAGGAGAATGGGTATAGAGTTCCATTTTTGGTTTTGGTACTGAGGATTGAACCGAGGCGTACCCTACCCCTGAGCTTCATCTGCATCCCTTTCCATTTTTTATTTTAAGACAGGGTCTCCCTAAGCTGTCCAGGCTGGTCTTGAACCTGCCATCCTTCTGCCTCAGCCTCTGGGATTACAGGCATGTGTTACAGCACCCAGCCTAGAGTTTCATTTTTTAAAATTAATTAATTAATTCTAATTTGTTAGACACGACAGCATCATTGTTATAAGATGAAGAGAATTCTGGAGCTTGGTTACACAGCAATGTGAATGTACTTCACACTACTGAACTGTGCATTAAAAAGGGTTAAGATGGTAAATTTTATGTTACATGCATTTTACCTTAATTTGAAAAATTTAAAAGTACAAACTAAAAAAAAACCAAACAAACCAAATTACAAAACTCAATGTAAACCTGAAATACACGTACATATGTGTATGTGTATACACACACATAGAAGAACCTACTCAAAAAGTTTTTTTTAAAAAAATTTTGTAGTTGTAGATGGACAGAATGCCTTTATTTTATTTATTTACTTTTATGTGGTGCTGAGGATCAAACTCAGTGCCTCACAAGCAAGTGCTCTGCCACTGAGCTWCAACTCCAGCCCTCAAAAAGTTTTTTTTTGYTTTTTTAAAAATTTCTCACTCTTGATCAGATCTACTGAGTTTTATCTCCTTAGGACAAAAATAAACCAAACTTCAAATGTTGATACTATTCAGGTGAGCGGGCCTCCGGCACCTGAGCCACCTTCTCTGAAAACACTTCTTTGTGAAGTCATTTTAGTTCAGGAAAGGAAAGGAAGATCTTCCCGCTCCAGATTTGGCTYTCACTGAATGAGCAGGGATGAGTCCAAAGTTCTCCAGGTTCTGTGAAGCATGCCCTAGTGTATGCTGAATGCTTATGTCCCCAGCAGACAAAGGTCTGATGCTGGGGACTGAATAATTCAGAACAAACGTATATATTGCCCTTCAAATGCTCACAGTTCAGTTGTGTTTCTCCTCCAGAAAGTCCAGCTCCAGATGTACTCTGTAAGGCAGCYGCGGGAGCGCAGGGGCATTAGGCCCAGACATCTGGATCAGTGCTCCCGTTGACTCATGGCTTAGGTGACGCTTCTCTCAACTATGTGTGACTGAGCTTGAACCAGGCCAGCTAMAGTCTGTGACTGAGCTCCTAATTTGAAATTTTTCCCACTACATAACAAGTATGGCCCATTCATTTTCTGTAYGGCCAACCCTTCCAGAACTCCAGCTGGACTTCAGTCCCAGTGCCTACAGGCAGGATGCGGAGCTCAAGGGAAACAGGAAAGGCTGAAGTGCAGTCCTCTAGGACTGAGGAATGGGAAGTGGGGTGGGGGTGGGATCCAATCAAGAATGTCTTAAAGCATTCGAAAGACCCCGAGAGTCAGGAGGCAGCTAGCTCCATGACAGTAGAGAGAACCAAACATGTCCCCAGATGAATTGGGGGTGGGGGGRGATGAAAATCATCTGTATTTGATCTTGCCATGCTCATTTCTCCAGTATAAATTCTAGCCACCATGGAATCAGATGGACTGTCTAAGCAGTCCGTCTCGTCTTTTAAGGACAAGGACAAAGGAGGAAATGGTCATAAGATGGTGCCATACAATATGGAAAACCAGTCCCAGAGATTTGATCTTTTTTAAGGTAAGAGAGCTGGCTGATATAAAAACCTGTTGAGAGCCCCTGCCACCTCACTTCACTTATGTACCAGTCCCCTGCATGTGTCTGTAGTCCAGCAGTGGGTAGTGTGGCCATGGGAAGCCACCTGTCATAGTTTAGATTTGGAATGTCCCYCTAAAGCTGTGTGGAAGGCTTGGTCCCCAATGCAGCAATGTTCAAAGGAGCCTTAGAGATGTGATGGATCATGAGCTCTTTAATCTCATCAACCACTGGTGGATTCGTAGCTAAACCAACAACTGGGAGGTGGTGGAAGCTATCTGATAAGGGACCTAGTAGAAGGGAGTAAGTCCTTGGGGGAATACTTTGGGGATAGATCTTGTCCCTCGTCCCTTTCATTCTCTCTCTCTGATTCCTGGCTTCCATGAGGTAAGCAGCGTTGCTCCACCACAATGTTCTGCCTCGTTACAGGCCTAGAAATAGCCGGGTGTGGTGGTGCATGCCCCAGTCCCAGTTTAAGAAGCTGAGGCAGGAGGATCGTGAGTTCAAAGCTACCCTCAGCTAAAGTGAGGTGCTAAGCAACTCAGTGAAACCCTGTCTCTAAATAAAATACAAAATAGGGCTGGGGATGTGACTCAGTGGTCAAGTGCCCCTCAGTTCAATCCTCAGTATGGAAAAACAAAGAAACAATGGAGCCAGCCAACCATGGACTGAAACCTCTGAAACTGTGATCCAAAACAAATTTTTCCTCCTCTTTTGAGATGATTTTCTCAAGTATTTTATCACAG